TGGGAGGGGGGTAGGGTGGTGGGGTGGGTAGGGGGTAAGGGGTGGGGTGAGGTGATGTTTGCATTGTTATATGTTGGGTAATGGTCTTGATAAATATTGGTTAATGTTTTATGTTGGGAAAAGATGTAAAAATCATGTCACTAAGTCAACTCTTCTTATTTTTATAAAGAGATGATATTTTTTATAAAAGTGTGGTATTTTTATAAAGAAAATATGGTATAAATGGCGTATAAATATTTAATTGGAATTATAAAAATTCAAATTGTTAATAAAATCATTATTATAAAAAATAATAATATGTTACACAAAAATTAGGTTGATCCCTAAATTCTTTTTGTTAAAAGTTGGGCGTTTTAGGCCGGGTATGGAATTTGTCGTATTTGGTGACGAAATCACCAAAAATTTGTATTTGTAGCATTTGTTATGAGTTTTCCATGTAGTGTAAGGATTATGAATTCCACTACATCGTGTTATGAATATTATTTATACTAAAACAATATAAAACTGAATTACCGAATTGTTACGATACTAACCTTATTTAGGGTTTATGTTCTATAATTTCCAATAAGAGTGGTGCTTTGTATTATAACTTGTCAATCGTACATTGGACGCATTAGGGAATATCACAATTCACCTAAAATTCTAATACAAGTTGAGTTGACATGGTTGACTTTTGTTGATTTTGTTTGACCGAGAATCGACAGTTGTCACATAATCAATACTCTAAATCCTTTAAGTCTGGACCAAGGTAAAATTGGTCAAAAGTTAATGATCAATGGTCAACAAAATCCAATGGTCAGCAAGTCCACAACCACCACGTCATGGCCAAATCAGGAAAAAGTGGTCGCGATGCAAAGCACCACCACGTTGTGGCAAGTCCTTGGCCAGTTGTGGTTACGGGCATGTTGTTGTTCCCTTATTGAGAGCTTAATCCTTACAGATCTAAGCCCATAACTTCAGACCTTATACTTTTCAATAACTTATTGGATAAAGTGTCCAACTTTATTTATTAGGACCTCACCACAAGGCAAGTTCTACTACCCTTAGTCCATTAAGTCCTTAATATGACCAAAGCTAGTGCATGGACACAGTGGAACTCCAAATATGGCTATTTTCTCATTTCCTAGAAGCCTAATGATCATTAGATAGCCATAACAAGTCGTGGAGTTCGTCAAACTCGAAGAACAACCAAGAAGGGACCAAAAATCATCAAAAATTTAACTCAACCTTGTAACAAGAATAATAGGGGTCAATGTATGAGCTTTATACCTTCAATAAATCAAAAATCTGAAGGAGATGGTGGACCTAAACTAGATTATTGCTTCCTTGCACCAAATAAACTTCCTTCTTCCTCAATATTCACTAAAATCCAAGGGACAATACTTTAATCAAGAAAACATGCTCTCAAACATGCATGGAGGCTAAGGTTTCATGTTGGAAGGTTGGAGGCCGAATATGAAGACCTAATTCAAAAGTTTTAAGCCTTTAAATATGGAAGAAAACCCTAAATTTTATGGGCTTGGGCTGCATTGTCTGCTACGTTGTTGCCATCCTCTATTCACATCATGACGACCATCTAAAGCGTGTTCTTCCTTATGTAATGTCCCACATCGTGGTTACCAACCCACCACATCGTGGTATGCCTGGGTTAGCAACCCAAAATCTGCTTTAAGCACAAAATCACTCTAAACCCAAAGTCTTAATACCAAGCCCAAGAACCTGATTCCCTAAGGTCCATACTCGATCCTCTAAGAATCGACGCCCGGACCTTCAAGCTAAGATTGTCTCGAAACATTGTCGTTTGGTTGGCTGGAATTTGTTGGAACTAAAAGGAATTAGAATTTAATTACATCACTTTCCTATTTTTGGTTCAAGCTTTCAAAAGGAATTGGATTCCTAAATGAGTCCAACTTTCCTTCTATTAAGGGAAAATAAATTATATCAAAAAAGATGAGGAAATTAAAATTTCTTCAAGTGGAAATGTTGAAGATTACGATATTACCCTTATCTATTTTAACATTACATATGAAAACCCTCTGCCACCACTCGCTACCACCTCCATCACCACCGCTACCACTATCCACTACCTCCGCCACCACCCATCACCACCACCTTAGCCACTCACCACCACCACCACCGTCATCACCAGCCACTACCTATGTCATAACCACCACCTTCAACTCTAACACATACACCACCACCACCATCTTTACCACAACCACCCACCACCACCACCACCACCACCCACCACCATTACCGTTATCGCCACCACCATCGAAGCCACCACCCACCGCCACTATCACTACCACCTTCGCTACCACCACCCATCGTTACCACTGCCTCCAATATGCCGCCACCACCTACCGCTACAACCACTACCATCATCGCTACCACTAACCACCATCGCCACCACAAGCACCACCACCGCTACCATCACCACCACCTGTCACCACTGCTGATGCTGCCACCACGACCACCATAAATTGCTTTTTTTATTATTTATATAATATATCTTTACATATAATTATAAAATAAAGTAAAATTAAACAAAAATACAAGAATAAATTTTTTGTTATTTTATATTATTCTAATCCAATTTCCTGCTAAACAAACATAATATGGAATTGGATTCAAATCATATTCCTTGCAACCAAACAAAATATGAAATTGGATTACATTTCCTGATAGATTCCAATTTCTTAACAAATTCCAATTCCTTTATAAACATTATATGAACCACACGCTACCTAAGAGTTAGTGCCTTTAAATAGGGCCCAAAGACTAGGAATTAGGGTTTCACTTAACAACTGAGTCACGTCGCACATAACACTAGTTTTGTCGTGACTTTCATTAAAAGGTCGCACAACGACCAACCCCAAGGTCGCATCTCGAGACATACCAATCCATAAACTCAAGTATTGATTGAATTACATATTAGAGATCGGGAAACAAGTGTTACATTAGCTACCCCTTTTGTAGCTAGTGTGATGGTTCATAATATATAGATTTGTAGAATGGACAACATGAGGGTTGTGCTTTGTGCTCATTGCTCATGAGTCCGGATCATTTAACCATCATTATATTTGAGAGTTTGGATTATTGAGTTTGACTCGAGTTTGGGATAAATGTGTATTCATTATTGTTATATGTTTGTAAAATTATGCCCTTTAAAACCATCGAGTTATTGATAATTATTTGGTCTAGCTAACCATTTTTGGCTTTATGATTTTGATGTACATGTTATTATAAGTTATTAATCATTTTGACTTTGGAGTACGTTTTATTAAACCCTTGATTTTGAAATATGGGTTATATACCCTTTGGCTTTAGAGTACGTGTTACTAGACGCTTGACTTTGAAATATGGGTTATACACCCTTTTACTTTGAATTTTGGGTCATATGGACCCAAGACTTTGGATTATTAATGCTTTAGAGTCGACTTAGATTGTTTTGAATTGATTTTAGAGGTTTGACTTGAGTGATAATAATTTTCATCATTACTTACTCTTTGTAAGTCAATATAATGTATTATCACTAAAAAACTATTGTTAGAAGGTATCGAATATATCTTGAAGGCCATAAATTATGTGGTAACATTCGAACCATGTTTTGAAATTAGTTGATATTACCTTGTGCTTTTTAACAAATTAACTTGTTTGGGACTTGTTTTTCTGTATTTTTAACTCTGAAAACCTTTTAATTTAAAATACAATGATTTTAAAAGATATTTTAAACTACCACGAGAAGTATTTCACCCACCAACGTACAATTTGAGATTAATTTTCTCGAGAATCTACGATAACAATGTATCATTCGTGATGAAAAAGAAAATGTAAATAACAAATATTAGGATTATCGTATGTGTTTGGCTAAGATTATATGGGAACACCGTGAATAGTGTTGTGAGTACATTTGCATTGCTATGTAAAACAATAATTTTTATAATTTTTTGTAGTAAATGCTACATTAGTTAACAACAAACTTTATTTCCGGCTACACCTTTGAAAATTGTAACATATACATTGTTTTTTCATGATTAACAAAATTTTCTCTAATTCTAATAACATCTTCCTAACGGTCCGTTCTGCCATAAGCATGTCAATCTCTTTATCCGCATCTCCAATCCACTTTTCTGTCATTTTAATTATTTTCTTAGTACCATTACTCATTCCACCTTTTCGTTTAGCTCTTTTAAGAGAACAATTAATTAAGTATCCGACTCTTTTCCAAGTCCTTTCGGTTGTTTTCTTCAACACTCGTCATCGCTTCACATACATAATGAAATATCAATATTTCTCTTCTTAATGTCAAATACCATCTTTAGACGCTATTAGAACCAACTTAGATGAACTCATGTTTATATGAAAAACGAGTGAACAACTTACGGTCTTTTATTGACAACTATTCGTGAGACATTATTGCTTTCACAACCATCGTTCGCGAGTGTGCGCTCAAGGTCTTTGCCAAAATACCAAATGACTCGCAAAACGTAATGCTCCTTTGCGGTTGGTACAATTGTTTTAGTAGTTAAAACTTAGAACACTGTGACAATAAAATCACTATTCAATTTAAACTTGATGAGTTAGACTGTTAGATAAAATACACGTCTCGTTAAATAAAAATATATTTGTTGTTGTCTTATTGATAACTGAAAAAATAATATTTAGGATAGATGTACTTTAAATATGATAAATATTTGAATAACTTTCTATGGTTCATATACAAACGCTAGTAATGTTTTTTATAATTGTTAACTGAATATAAAAATAAGTTAAATATATAATATAATAATAATAATAAACATATTATATAAAAAAAAAAGATACGAAGACATGAAAACGAGACGTATATTATAACCCTCTTGATTAAACCACCATCAGTGATTAAAATACATAGACTATATTTATCTAATTTAAAAATAGAAAAGGTATGCTGTCATAATAAAAAAAGTTAAATTAAAAGTGAAAAGAAAACGCGTGGATGGTGTGGTGTCGAAGCACTCTATGTAATGTTAACCCATACCCGTCTGTTGTTCACCGTTTCTTTCTGTTCGCCTTGGGGTAGTGCTTGATTACAAAAGCAAAATTCGCACAAAAAAATGCAAATGCTCTGTAGATCACTAGTACCTTCTGCCATGGCTGCTCTCCCTTCTTCCGAGGTTTCTTTCATTTTTCCCTCACCTTTTCTCATTTATGTTCTTAGTTAATTTCGTATATACTCTCACGTCTTTCAAGATTCTAAATTCATTCTCTGATTTATTCGGATTGTTGTTTATCGCTTAGTAAAGTATAAGATCATAGATATTCGCAGTGTCAGATTTCAGTTGCGCTTTATACATATATGTTGTCTATTTAATCGACTTCATCATCGCCATTGGGATTTGGATTTAGAATATTAAATGCGGAATATATCTTTAGGTCATGCGTACTTGAGATTGTGATTCTCTAAATTACCGATTCATTGTTATGGAAGAATATTTTTGGGAATTTAAGAGGAATGCATATCCTACACGCGATGTTCTAAAGCTGCTACGTAAATTTCAACTGCATATGTTGTTTTTAATAAAATTTTCATGTGCATATATCAAGTAAAACTGTTCTAGCGTTAGGGTTTAGGGTGTTTGTTGATCTAATTTTGGCAAGTAGCTACTCTGATGTAACATTGTCTGTGAATCACTCTGAAAGAATCTACGAGAGGGGAAAAGATGAAAGGAGAAAGTAATCATATAGAAAAGCTAGGGGAAAGTTCAGGAAGAATTTGTCAAAACTGGAAAAAAGCTGAATCAACCAACTTAGGAACTATGCCTCTTCAGGATAATGTTTGGGAAAAGAAGGTAAGTTACTTTTTGCCTTTTGTTTTAGTTATCAAAAGAGGGAATACCAGAAAGTAGTTACATTATCCCAATAATATGATAGAAATCATAGAATGGATAGATCATAGATGCCTTAGCATTAATGAATTCATATACACATTGTGTTTTGTTAAAGTTTTATTTTGTAAGCTTATTGATTGTTTTGTATTGTGATAGGCGAGAAGAATGGTCTGTGTATGGCCAGGTATAAGGCAACTATGCCTTAGGAAAAACCTTATGTATGGGTTTATGCAGCTCTTTTCATTTCCATTCAAAACATTGAGAGGCGTGAGTCGATCTCTTGGTGTTTCTCATTTGTGTAGCATTTCCAACATGTCTACATCATTGCAAATTGAATTAGTGAGTTTTCACTTCATGAATATATGCAGTTTGTTTTTAATCCATTTTCTTTATTATGTGTTTTTGCTTAAGAGATCAGAGAAGAAATGTAATTGTAGATTTCATTAGAATGAAAAAGAAATCTCTTTGTTTTGTCCGATAGAATCAGAATGGATTGAAAAATTACAATTATACCCGTTTTCTTTATTTCTTTATTCCTACAAGCCAACCACACATGATAATGGAATGTAATGACTCATTCCATTACCTTTGTTTCTTTCATTAACCTATCCATTCCATATTTCCATTCCTTCTTCACTAATTGTATATATTTATTTGAAGTTTTTTTTGGTGTCCTTATATTAGGTACCATGTCTGAAGGACAATTATGCATATCTTTTGCATGATTTAGATACTGGAACAGTTGGAGTTGTTGATCCTTCAGAATCTCTACCAATAATTGATGCCTTGAGCAAGAACAATCGAAATCTCACCTACATTTTAAATACTCACCATCATTATGATCACACTGGTGGGAATATGGATTTGAAAGCGAGGTATGGGGCAAAGGTAATGTTTAGGTGATTAATTCTTTTTTAAAATTATATAGTTATTTTAATATCATCTCTGTATTACTTATAATGTGTTTGCAATCTTTGATCTTTCAGGTAATTGGATCCAATATAGACAAGGATAGAATACCTGGAATTGATATCAGCTTGAATGATGGTGACACATGGATGTTTGCTGGACATGAGGTGCATGTGATTGCAACCCCGGGCCACACCAAAGGTTTTTCTATTACTTTGCTTAGCTACTCAATTGATTGCCAGATTGTGTGTAAAAAGACATGAATACCCTCCTCATCCTTGATAAAAATCTACCTGATTATAGCAAAGGCATCCAAAATCCAAATACAAAGTACAATTTTCTAAAAAGACGTGAATGCCCTCCTCATCCTTAGTAAAAATTGCTCTGAAAACTTATCTAGTCCAGACCTTGTAACAAAAACAGCCTTAGTAATCTTTGGGGTGAATTTTTTTTTGTCATGGGTCTATCTAATATGCAAAAGAGACGTGAATGCCCTCCTCATTCTCAATTTGCTCTGTTGATTATTTGGATATAGAAATTTATACATAGTTTTTTATATGCTGCTGGTTGTAGTAAATACTAAATAGTAATAGATTTGTATGTGGTTAAAAATAGGATTATTGTACAAGGTAACAAATTTTTCTCAAAAAAGAAAAAGAAAGGATAATATGTGTAAGTAACAAATTGTTAATTCTTGGTTTGTATGGTTTGGCTGCAGGCCATATTAGCTTCTATTTTCCAGCCTCTCGTGTAATTTTCACTGGAGACACTTTATTCAGCTTATCATGTGGCAAACTATTCGAAGGAACACCTGAACAGGTAATCATACTACTACATATTTTACTTTTAATTCATTGCTTTAAATCTCACTTGTAGTAAGCTTTTGCATAAACATATTGGATATATGTTTCTTAGAGTTCCATATTGTTATTTAGACACCATAATTAGGGTTGATTTAGTTTCCCGTTTTTAGCCTTCATACAACTGCATTGCATTTGCATAACATAACTGTTAAAAGTTGTTCTGTTTTGTTTTGTGTATCAGATGCATTCGTCCCTAGAAAAGCTAACATTGTTGCCAGAAGACACAAATATATACTTTGGTCATGAATATACATTGGTAAGTCATGTTTTCTTTTAGACCTAAACGCAAGAAATATACATTGTAGCATCCTCCTTTCATGTCTTTCTATTAATTACAACAGTGTACTTTTTAGTTTTTTTTTTCTTATTAAGGCAATCCACTTTGAAATATCTACCTAATTATAGCATTGTACTTTGAAAAACCTACCCAATTCTAGCAATGAAAATTGCTATAATGGATAGATTTCTCAAAGTACAATGCTATAATAGTAAAAAACAAAGTAGGGAGTTATAATCAACAAAAGAAAGAAAGTATGTTGCTATTTTAAAAAAAAAATCATGTGCACCATTTATGAAGCATGTAAGTTTATTTAATTAACAGTTAGAATTTTGTATATACAGAGTAATTCAAAGTTTGCATTAGCTGTTGAGCCTGGGAATTTGGAGCTACAATCATATGCAGCCAACATAGCCAATCTCAGGAAAAAACACTTGCCCACGGTAATGTTATTTTGATTTATGTTTTTTTTATCCATAATAGCAACGTACTTTAATCTCACTACTAATATTTGCAATATACTTATATTCTACACCCACAATAGTAACATACTTTATATAGATTTTTTTTTTTTTTTTTAAATATGGAATGTTTTCTACTTCTTTTTTGTTGCTTCTTTGGATTGTGTAAAACTGTATTTTGCTAAAATAGTTTTTACTCTTAAAAGTAATTGTTTGCTGTATCATGGGTATGTATTATAACATCATACTTGTAATTTCTTTATTTAGAATGCTTTTCTTTTGGGCTAGATGCATGAAATAGCAAACTATTATTATATTTATTTGTGTATTATAAACATCATCATACTTTCATTTCTTTCGATTACTACATTACAAAATTACCCTGTTAAGAATCTACCTGAAAATTTTAAACTAGGATGCTATAGTGTAATAGTAAGCAAATTATTTAAAGAAGATTGCTATTAATTAAGCATCTGTGACCATGATTGGTTTTGTGGATCAGGTTCCAACCACCTTAAAGAAGGAAAAGCTATGTAATCCTTTCTTGCGTACTTCAAGTCAAGCAATACGCAGCGCGTTGAAAATTCCAGTGGATGCAACTGATGCAGAGGCCTTGGGAGTCATCCGAGAAGCCAAGGATAATTTCTAAATAAATTCCCATAATCATAATACCCTTTTCTCTACTGTCATGCACATAACAAATTAGGTCTAGCATTTTGGAATTTGTGTTAGCAACTATACACTAAACTTAGTGTTTGTTGGACATTTCACAAAACTAAGAATGAACAATTGATTGGTTTTTGCTTTTGGTCTTTTCGCTAACTATAAGCCATAGTGGATGCCAACTCAGAGTTGAGGGCTGTTTGGTAGCCTTTGTATGGAACCATTCAGAGGACATATCTTAATATGTCAGCATTCTGTGCAGTTGGTTCATGGTTCAGCCTCTGAACGAATTAAAAGCCTTGGAACTGCCACTGAAACCTTCTCTTAACCGTTAAGAGATTTGAACCAATCGGTTGATTTACGAAACAACTCTTTAATCTGGTTAAATTTGATATAAGTGATGTAATTGAAACCCATTAGATGCTCTTATAGATATCAATGGGAACATTCCATGGGCCCTCTTTGTTGACCAAGGGAAAACCTTCGGCTAAAAATACCCAGCACATCCATTTCTAAAGTAGAGGTGGAAATTATTTGGTCCGGAACCAAAAAACCTGAAAACCAAATCGAACCGAAATCGATTTCAGACCGAACCATATTCAAATTCGGTTTTTGGTTTGGTTTGAGACCAAACCGAATTGTAAATTTGGTTTTTGGTTCGAGTTTCGGTCTCGTGAAGTTTAAATCAAACCGAACCGAAAAACCGAATTTCATAAATCAATTAATTAAAAAATATATTTTATATTTTATATTAAATAAAAGTATTAATTATAAACTAGAAATCATTTTAACCCATTTACTCTCTTGATCATTTCGTATGAAACTTTAGATCTTTCTGTTTGTAACTTTAGGTTTCTATGTTAAAAATATTTTAATTTATGTTTGAAATTTTTTTTAGTTAATATTTGGTTTCCTCGGTTTTCAAACCGAATCAAACCGAATTAGAATTTGGTTTTCGGTTTGGTCTAGAGAAATTGAATTCGATTTGGTTTGGTTTTCGAAAAATATTTCAATCCGAAGAAACTATTCGAGTAAACCGAAAAACCAAAAAACCGAACCGATTCCCACCCCTATTCTAAAGTAAGACCGAGGCCCACCTAAGAGTGGAACCCAGTAGGTAGAAGTGGGCAAAAAAACAATTGAAACCGATTTGACAAAAACATGTTTTGATGCATAAATATTGTAAGCACAATGGAGCTTAATATACTTTTTTATCACAGAAGACAGAAGTATATGATGGAGGTTAATATACAAAAGTGGTTTAACAGAATTACGTAAGCAACATGAGAAATATACTTTTCTTTTGCGTAAACATACAGCAATGGAGGTTAATATAGCTAAGTATGTATGTAAAGCCTGAGAGTTCACAAGCAATGGAGGTTTTTGGTTGTTTTTTTTGTTCACTAGCAATGAAGTCGACTATAGGCATTGGAAAATGGAAATGTAGTTTGCTTTGTTTATTAGACATTAGTATTAGTATATGCAGGACAAAGATTGATAAACTTGCAGCGGGTATGGTACAAAAGGAATGATTTTATGAAGATTTTCTTACTGATTAAACTTCAGCCTCACTTCCTATTTTACCAATTATCAATTTGCAAAAATAGGCGCAACATACACATACAGAACAAAGTGTATTTTTTTTTTCTTCTTTAAGCTCTTCTCCTCTCATTTCTGTTTGGGTCGACACAAAACAACAAATAAGAAAAACTGATACCAAGAACCAAGACACAAAGTGGGAAAGACAAAAAAAAAGCCTCAAATAGTCGTTTTTTTTTTTTTTTTTTTTTTTTTTTCAAATGGTTTCTTCCAATATGGTTTGTATAGATTCGACTTTGTTGACTCAAACCGATCATGTTTCCAAAAAATAAAAAATAAAAACCTGTTTATGCACCTCTACCTACCGATCATGTTTCCAAAAAATAAAAAATAAAAACCTGTTTGTGCACCTCTACCTGTGCCCTGTATGTACCCTATAGAAATAAAATATGGGTCAATTCTTTTCGAGTGATTTTATCATAAGCCCTTTCACCGTTAAATCACACAAAGAATGTTTCATATTAAATTTTTAGAGACAAGTTTAGTAACCCGATTGTCACTTGGCCGAGAGACTTGGCTATTCTAAATTTGTGTTTTCGGAATTATAGACTACACACATTCATTTTGATACCCTTTAAAACAAAAATGCTTACGATTCAAAATAATAGTGGTGATGATAGCGGCGGCGGCGTTGGGGTGTAATAATGGTATTGGAACTCAATTAATTAGGGATTTTATTTATTATAATTATTTTTTATGAACGGTTAACACATCTATATATTTGTCTATCATGAGATTTGAACCTCAACCATGTAGAGGAATGATATATTTTCAAATATTTGATATCATTAGATCCAAGACCCTTTAATAAAAATTAATAAGTAGTTCAGATTGAAAAATTTACGAGGATTTGGAATGAAGTCCACCACAATCTCCGGTTAAAAAACTAGACAAGATTTCAAATAATGGAAATTTGTCATTGTTTGTGAGTTTTTAGAAACCCTCAAAAGGGAAAAAAAATTAAGAACTTTCTATATTTCATAAAAAATGTTATGACAATTTGTGACAACCCGAAAATTTTATTCTTGTAAAATTTCTCTTTGGTCAAACTTATTCCTTCCATGATTCTTAAAATTAGATGGGTTATAAGTGTTGAAGCCTAGTTAACTAAGTGTGTTATAGTTTGGAAAAGAAAAACAAAAGGAATTGAGAAGCTTTACATGGCCGCAAACAACTTCGGACCGTGAACCCTCGGTTCACGGCTGTGAACGAAGCTCCAACCGTGAATGAAGCTCCAACCGTGATCTCGTCTTCGGCCGTGAACGGTCCTCGGGCCGTGAACTTCTTCGGGTCCCACACTGTTCCTTATATATATAGATTTGACCAGAATTTTCTTCATTTCTCCTCTTCTGGCCGCAAATACTCAATTCTCTCTCAAGTATCATCAACCAAAAACCTCCCCTCTCCTCAAGAACATGCAAAATCTTCCTAGAAACTTGTAAGAATCACACTTTGATCTGGAAATCATCTTCCAAACACTTCCAATCTTCACACTTTGGGCCGTGAACTCAAGAACACTTGGTGTTCTTGGGCCGTGAACACCCAGCTGGCCGTGAACCCTTCTTGCAGCCTTCAAACTTGCTTCTAACACTCTTTTGGTGAGTTATTCTAGCATCCTAGGTTGTTTCCTAAACACCTTTGTAGTTATATTCACTAACTATATACATATATGTGTGATAATACGCTAATTAGGACTCGTTTGTGCTTCGGGATTTCACTCGGGAAGCTTACCAATCTATACCAAATCTTCTATTTGAATCCCTCAAATATGATGAGTTCATACCCCCATAATTTCCAAGCTTTTTAATGTTTTAAGGGGGGGGGGGGGAATACAAGTAAAACACAAGATTGCTTGTGTTTAAAAACATAATTTACTTATTATGTTTTCTTACTGTTTAAATGTATTTGAACTTGAAACTTGTTAAAGTCATAGAAATCAACTTATAAACTATAATATGTATGGTTTATGGATCATAGGAACTATTTTACAAAAATCCAGGTTAAAACATGGAAATGAACTTATAAACATGGTTTATGAAACGAAAGGAAATATTTTACAAAATTACTTGTTAATTATAAAAAGGTTTTACATTTTATGTAAATAATTAATACAGGATTGTGAACTACTCGATGTACCACTCAGGGTACCCGTTCGAATCTTAATTATAACCAGAGTCTTCATAAGGGAGAGCGCGAGTTGGTGTATAGATCTATACGAGACTAACTTTGTATTAGTATGGTTATAATGAATATTCACAATAGTATAAACTAATTATTTACATAAAGATATACTTTTCCCAAACTTCCCAAGGGATATTAACTATATGATTTCTCAGTATATACAATAGGGTTAGATAAAACTGAAGTCCGATAGACAGTGGAATGTGTGACTTCCGCCTCATTTCCTGTTCCTTGTTTGGTTGTGGGCTTAGGGCAGATTCACCCATTCAACTGTCTATTCGATCTCGGTATTATACAACTCGTGTGTACTAAGTGATCATAGGAGGGTAGTATCGTCACGTCGAGCTTTCAGGGTAATTACATGTTCAGATATGATTACTGATAAACAAAACTGGGTATCATTAAGCTAAGTATGGTAATTATACTTGTGCTTCTCGGTCTTGGAGTGTTTAAGACTACAAATCGGTTTTATAGAAAATATAGGATTTTCTATGGTTGGAAGATAAACGGTTTCCGATAGAACTTTCTGAAATCAATGTTTCACAATAGAGTTAGTGAAACTAGAAACTTATTTACAAAAGGTTTAATACTTTTATTAAACTAGTATTACATTAAGGACCTTTAATGGTTAATTCTATAATTTCTTAGTTTATACATTCGAATTATATATAAATGATATCCGATAGGCAGTGGAATGTGTGACTTCCGCCTCATTTCCTGTTTCTTGTTTGGTTGTGGGCTTAGGGCAGATTCACACATTCAACTGTCCGTTCGATATTAGGTTATATATAGTTAGTATAAACTAAGTGATTATAGAAGGAACTATTGTGGTTACCATTTTACCGGAGATTCGTTAATGTTAATTATGTAATTACTTGATGAATACATTAGGATTATATACAATAAAGATCCGGTAGACAGTGGAATGTGTGACTTCCGCCTCATTTCCTGTTCCTTGTTTGGTTGTGGGCTTAGGGAAGATTCACCCATTCAATTGTTTAATCGATCTGTATTATATATAATTAGTATTCACCGAATGATTACAGAAGAATTAACTACAATCACTTTACTTATTAAGAAAATATAGGATTTTCTTAAGGGACGTTTTCAAATTAAAGGGTCATTAAACTTAATGTTAAGTGTACTTAGTGAATACGTCAGAGTTAGATACATGAGGATCCGGCAGATAGTGGGATGTGTGGATTCCGCCTCATTTCCTGTTCATTGTTTGGTTGTGGGCTTGGGGCAGAACCACACAGCCGACTGTCTGTTCGATCTGAATGTATATGACTTGTATTCACTAAGTACTTGTAGA